AAACATGAGAGATGATGCAAGAACAGACAAAGGGGACAACCATATGTTTTATCTAAAAAGAAGTGACTGAATTGATGAGGTGTGCAAAAATAAAGAACAGTATATAAGAGACAGTGCAGTCTACAATGCTGAAAGAAAATATTGATGAATAGTTTAGAGATGACTGATACATATGGGAAAGGAGAGACGCACAGTAAAAGTTATGCTACTGTAGGACATCCACAAAATGTAAACAAGGAGAAGAAAAGACAGATTTAAAACTGTATACAGACAGGATTAATGACATATTAAATTGAAAGGAGCAGGAGAGGTACAGTATGAAGTGGGTAGGCATTAGGGATGGGCATTTCAAGCTAAAATGCTATTCGATATTCACTGGGAACTATTTGACTATCTTTGAATATTCGAAAATCACTGCTTTGTGCAAGGGTCAAGGGGGATGACCTTGAAGTATTTCAGGAGAATATGAAGTTAAAAAGAGACAAAAATGACTCACATCAGGGGGAATCCGTGCACCATCTTTGACTGTGTTGCCCTCTACAGTGATATGGTAGACCTGCCCATCTGTGTCAGTGAATACAAAATGCTCCCTTGCTGAGATGGCCTGGCTGGTCTCTGACTTGCTTTCTGCATCCTGCAGGAGGCTGCAGTGGAGAAATCACACAAGCAGATAATTCTCTCAGATACGCATAACATGTTGGCATTTTTCCACTGGGTCCATTGTGAAATATTTGGACTTAGATATCTTGGTATTCAGTATTTCTGTATGTTGCTGATAGTGGTAATGCATTTACCATCTGCATATGATAACCCAGTTGTACAAATGCAAACATGAACTTAGACATAGAGCTCAACTGTATGTAAATGTTATTGCAACAATAATGTTGAGGCAAAAAAGATTGTTCCAGGTCACGTTTTCTGCAGCTGCAGTATCTTTGATATTTACACAATATAAGAACTAATTAGACTACTGGAATGTTGACTTCCGCTATCAAATTATTAATCAAATATAATAAGGGGTTAAAATGTTTTGGAAATAGAATGATTAGACGTTGAATTAAAAATAGAATTCCATGAATTGCAGTCAGTCTGGTGCTGGAAGATTGCATTCATGGAAGTCTAAAAAACATGTGGCACTCTGCCTTAGGGCTTTCTACCCTGACAAAAGGCTTTATAATGCTGACCTGATGACTGAGGATTCAACACTACTCTGCTCAGCATCTGACACTGTCTGTCGTGCCATTGCCTCCCTCGCTGCCATCTGCTTCTTCTTTAGACTCTTCAGGTTGTGGGATGGGGACCACTCCTGTTTTCACACACATACATACATACATAAGGTTGCTGTTACAGAAACAAACCATCCTCCACCACATTCACTGAAATAACAGAAAACAATTACAGTGTAAAAAGACAGAGACAGGAGGAAAGGGAAGTGATCTGCACATGCTCACACAAGAGAAACTGAGGTGATCAGGAGAACTGTATTCCCCAGCCGTAGTGGAACACTCTTGCGAGAGTCTGGTTAACTTGAGATTGATATCAATATGGAAATGAGACAGCAATAGAGAGCTGGGGGAGGCGGGTATGTATTATTAAGGTTTTTATTTGCAAGGTGGATGATTTTACAGCTCCAATGTCCAGCATACAGTAAGTCTTCTTTTACGAGTATTTCTCTGGTCAAATGAAGCCAATGTTAGATTAGATAAGATAATCCTTTATTGTCATTGTAACACGTACAACAAATTTCTAGAGTGATTCCAGTCGGTACAGCAACAGAAAAAAAAAATTGCTAATCTTGCAAACATTTCCAGACTAATCTTTCAAGGGGCCAACACAAACACAAAAGTATGATACTATTAGTAAAAGAAGAAATCAACAACACTGACAGTGCGGTTTGTTAAAGTTACAGTATGCTTTATTTTTCAAATATTTTCTTAATAGAAACATCCCCCAAAACCTATCTTAATGGGGAGAATTTCTGTCAAAGGCTCCTGTGACTCATCAAACAATCTGGAGGCAGTGCAGAGATATTATAAAGGTTTCTGACCAGATAACTCTCTTAACCAATCAGAGAAGGCCACTGTCAGGGGCAGGAGCTCATGGCTGTCAATCAATACAGGAGCACACTTCAGCTCAACTGACATAACTACAGCTGTTTGACAGGCTAGCAAGCTGTTGATTCCAGTGTTAGCTGAGATAGCTACATGGAAAAGAAGGACAAGAAGAGAAAGTTAGGAAGAGAAAAGAAACCAACGAAACTGGACTTGGATCATAATCTTATATCATTTATATCTTTCACCCAATGGAGAGAGTTGACAGAAAAATTTACAAAGCACTGGCATTATTTCTGCTCAACTGATAGTATAATAATGATTCAAACCATTACCCCTTGTGCTTGTAGCAAAATCATGCCAGAACATGTCATTTGCACTCCCAGTGTGACTATAACAGCAGCTGGCTACGCTAAGGATGTCACTGTGTTGCTACTTTTAGTTATAGTAGTCTGTCAGTTACATCCAGGCAAGTTCATACACAAGCCACTGGTCTGCTGCTGCTGGTGAATCAGTTTGTGACCATGAATTAGATTATTTTGATGCCTGCCAGCTGAATGTGTTGTAGTCTCCACTAACTTGGTCATTTTTCCCCAGAGTCTGGCTCTGGGTCAGTGGTTTGGCGCCTGCTACAGCTGTGGTGATATTACTTTGCCATGTGTTGTTCTCTCAAGTTACTACAACGATACAGCTGCACTCGACAGTGTGTTTTATTCAAATTCAGATGTGTTTTCCAACAGCAAGTGTCCTATTGTATATATGATAGAGTGGCAAAGTGTTATTTGTGATGTGACCTTTTCAGGGTGCATTTGTTCTTTCTCTGTCAATGCTCACAAATTGTGATGGCTGTAAATGTGTCATGAACACCTGTCATGTAGTGGAAGTTGCTGTGCAGCTATGCTGTGTTTACTGTAGACATGAAGCAGGGTGGAGCTGAGCACAGCAGAGAGGAGCGAGCAGGGTGTGGGAGGGCTGGGCGGAGCAGAGGCGACTGATTCTAGAGTCTTATGCTAAGATAGCTTAGTTTTAAATTAATATGAATTGTAGCTTTAAATGTTTTAAAAAATTTTTTACTTCTTGAAAAAGTTTGTAAAAAGTTTCAATTTTCTAAAATGTTTTCAAAAATGTGTTTTGCTCTGTTGTGGTGTTTTCTGTCTATCAGGGAATATCCAATGAGACCAAGGTCTTTTTAGCAGGGCTGTGAAACCGTCAGTGTGACAAGTTACCCAATAAAACAACACTGTGGCTAAAGTCTTCTAAAAAAACTTGAATATAGGAACACAACCACATTTCTCTGAGCTACACTTTGGGTTTCATTAGGTGTGAGGCATTCTGAGCATTGCTGGCCCTTATCACCTGCATCTTGGAGGTCTCTCCTTCTGAGTTAATCCTCTTCTAACCAGTGATAGCAGCGTGTGATAGTGCTGATGTCTTGTTACCAGTAACATATGTTGCCTTTCATAAAACTGCAGCTTCCCAGCCATTTAATGGAGTTGTTGTTTTATCATTAACACCGCTCCATACAACAAACTCTTTTCCTACAAGTGATTTGACATGTGCCCAAGGAATTTGTCTCTGCATTTCACAACAAATCAACCTGGGTCAGGGGCTAAGATTGGCCTCCAGTAATAGACTATTGAAAACAGCTCCTCAACATGAGGAGGGGAAAGTGGATTTTCCAGCTTAAAAGCAGAATCATCTCTGCTCAAGGCATTATCCTGTGTGCAGAGAAAAAAGTGAGATGCTATTGATATGGACAATGATGCTCTTAGATCAGTGTTGGTCATGTTCACTGACAACTACTGGTTTTAAAAAAGAAGAGGCTTTACATATAGAAAACATATTCATAGATATTCATAGATGATTTTTAGCTTCAGTTTTGTAATCTTCCTTCTCTGAGATGATAAATCCAGAATATAACCTTCTTGAAAAGTTGTTGCCTCTGACAGGCGGTGCCATTTTCTGCAAATAAAACAGATGCTTAAACTATGATGTTGCCCTCAAGGAGTTATCCAGAACTTTTGAATAGTTTGCCTCCTTTTGTCCTGTTAATGAAGCATCCCTGATGTTTCCTCGCTCCCCAGTGAAGATATATTTTTCATAGCAGTCATCAAAGTGAAGAAATCCCATGTTGTACTTTGATGTGCTTAACACCATTTTAACTCGCGTCTCATTACAGAGATAATTAATAGTTTAATTAGCACCAATTCTCACCAACTGACAGCTTCTCAGACACACAGACGTGATTCACTTGAATGGAAAATGATGCAAAAGCTTGATTTTTTAACATTCAGCTTGTGCATATCTAGGTTTCTTCAGCTCAGGTGTTTTGTATCATAATTGCCTATAAACTTTTATTGCTGATGTTTTATTCATTTCACCATGTACTGATTCAGCCTTCGCAGCAAAGTGCTCCTCACTAGGGGACAAAATGTCCAAATATGTGCAATGCAAACAACTTAGGAGGATTAATTTTAATTCTTATTACCTTGAAGCAAAGTAATTATTTTCTATGGTTAAAAAAAACTGTAAGCAAGCAAGAATAAAAGTAATCATCATTTTGTGCTTTTTTGCATGCTCTTTGCACTTAACACTTCCTGGAATCTGAATGATGCATTTCAAAAGTGTTGAGTAGCTGCAAAAGATGCAGATTAAAAAAAGATCAAACAGCAGAAGGGATCGACAGTTTTAGATGAGTTTACCGATGCTGAAGAGAGCTCATCACACAATGAGTGGCGAGTGTAGGCTTCGAGAAACAGCTTGTGCCTCTTGTTTGGGCTGAGAAACAATAGCATGTCTCCCAGCATGGGCGAGGGCCAACAGCAAAGCCTCTGTTTCATGTCTCACACTGCACCCCTCCCCATTCACTTAACTTCCAGTTTACGACAGCTCACATCAGTTTACAGCAGCCAATTTTCATTTTCTACTCCCAAATCCTATCGCACATTATCCTGTGCATTGCATTAAAGCCCTAATCTTTTCTTTCTCTTCCTTGGAAGAAGAAAGGAGTGCCTCCATGATTAACCCACTTTACAGCAATAAACACAACATCCAGTAATGTACACCAGATTTAATTTGAAGGAGGAAGAAAAAGCCAGAGCACTCAAATAACTGAAATGTAATGAAAAATAACACAATGCAGACACCAATGGGTGCCTTTGGAATTAATCTGAATGTTCCATGATTCTTCTCTCTCTTGTACTCAGGATTGGTTTCTCTCTGTGCCTTTTCTCCCTCACACTCCACTGGTGTGAAATCTTCAAACATACAAAGAGAGAGCGAGAGGAAAGAAAAAAAACAGGGTCAATCCTTTAAAAAGACACCACTTTTATCAAATTAACTAAAAAGAAGCACAGTCCTTCTCTTTTTCCCGTTTGTCACATGTAGCCCATGTTGCTTTTGGTTTCCCATCGTTTTTTCGCCTCAAACCTGCAACACAGAAAAACATTCAATACATTTTAACTTTCAGCTTTAAGCTGTGCATAAGCAGCCATTCACTTCTGAAATGCAGACTTCAGTGGCTCCGTTTTAACTGTGCTTGAAACCTGAGGGTCACATGTGGCAGATATGATGGCAAACAAACATGAAAGCAGAGAGAGACGTCCTACCCCCAGGCTATTTGCTTTCTTTTCTGCGCTGCCCTCAAAGCATCCTCTTCCTGTTTGCGTCGCACAAAGTCATGGCAATCAGCGGCTTGAGCAATTTTCACAGCCAGCTATTTAGAAGCAGACACAGGAGAGACCCATTAGAAAATAGAAATCAGTCTGTGGCAAGAGAGAGCTTTCTGACTAATGTGTCCAAGTGGCTTCTCGTCAAGTGTCTCTGCTGCCTCCTCCGCAAAACAGTAAAACCTTAATGAGCTGATCAACACATGGATGCTGCCCTGTTGTCCTATAATTTACCACATTTTACATTACTGTAGGACTGGTGATTGGATATAACCTACAGTATCTCTTGGAAAGTAAGTGATCTTGCACAGTGTCCTATGACTTGCAGCAGAAATTCATTCCATCATATGGACAATAATGTTTCTCAAAAAACTATATTGGATAGTTTTTGTTCTCCACCGTCAGTAACACTTCTTTTACAACAATGTCAAAATCGAGTGTCCTGTTTCTGAAACAGACATTAATACTGCAATGTTTAGTCAAATGACTAATTAACACTTTCTCAAATATTAATATTTTGCTATAACTAAATATCTTCTGGATGTCGACGTCCTTACCTACATCACCTAGGGCTCTGGGTTGGGCACTGTTTTGTGACATTTTATTGACCCAAGCAATTAATCAGGAAAATTATTGGCAGATTAATGGATTCACTACTTGCCGCCCCAGTAGACAGAGTTTTCTCCAGCGCGTCTTGTTTTAATTTGAAAATTCAACCCTACAAGCTCTTTACAATCTGCAAAACCCAACGTACAGAAAATAAATATATATGTGATATATGTGTGTGTGAGTTTGCGGGGGGGTGAAGTGCCCCAGCTCTCTGCAAATGACAGTTCTATTTTACTATTTTATTAAAATCCTGCTAACCTCTCCTGCCTTTTGTTTGAGTCCTCTATAAAGCTCCTGGCTTACAGTCTCTTGTTGTTGCTTTTTGATGACTTTTTTCTGTTGTTTAATGTCTAGATTAAATAACTGAATACATAAACAATGAGAAATAATGTTCAGCATTTTGCCCTTTTTCCTTCATCTCAAAAAATGTTGTAATAGCATTTTTCACTCATCACCAGTGAAAAGTGTTTGGAGTACTGCAGGCAGTCCCTGAAATCAGAAGTGCAGAGAATGACCGTGACTGCAAGAGGCAAACATTCAAATCCCAGGGAAAATGTGTGTATTGTGAAGCAGAATAATCCCAATAACCCCAGTCACACAGAAGCACGGGAAACAAAGGGAAGAATCCTGTCTCGGCTGTCACTCCTGCGATAGGTTTATTATTCAAGCAAAGGCAAACTTTGATAAACAACGTGGAACAATTTTACCAAACCTTTGGGTAATTCTCTGCAATATTCACAGTACAATCAGGGGGGAAAGTCTTAAGGCAGTGAAGAAATATGCCACCACTGTGCCACTTGAAAAAAAGACCTGCTGGAAAAAAATGTTTCAATTATAATTAAGTGGGATAAACTTTATTAGAAAGACTGAAACTAAAATATCTCCTAATGCATGCTGGGATTAAGCAGGTCAGAGCGAGCAGGCAGGAAAAATTAAACTCTAAAGGCTTTTTATCACCATATTTCAGGAACCAAGGGTGTAAAATGTTCTAATTTGGGATACATTAAAAGCCATAAAGGTCTTTCAAAAAGATTAATGGTACTTTGCTTGGATTTAAGATAAGGGCTTCAGCTGGCTGCAAGTACTGGGCTCTGACTGGGCCCTCAAGGCATTCATCTATACAGTCACTGGAAGATTTGTGAAAGCGTCTGCATAACCTGAAGCACACATACTGTGACAGTTCTCTAGTTTTTTGCCATTTTATGGGTTTTACATTCCTCAAATCATGTTCCTCCTCTTAAAGGGCCCTATAATGGGTGACTACGCTTACGTTTGCAGCAGATCTGCGAGCAGATAAAATCACACCAGGATGTTTCTCCACTCTTTGTCAGAGTGGTGTAGGTGCTAAATGGCTCTGATGCACGCTGAGATTAGAAACCAGACAATTATTAAATTTATGACAAATCCAAAAGCAGTCTCGGGTGTTTGCAGAAAAAAAAAACACTTTGGGGCTTGCTCATGGAGCAAATCAAATGAAAATGCATAATGTTAAATGTTTCATTTGGAGATTTACAGACATTCTTTTTTTTTTTAACATGAGGATGAAATGCAAAAGGTCTTAAAAACACACCTTCCCATTCATCCTAAAAGAAAAATGAAAACCCACTTCCATGCCCCTCATGTCCCCCTATTAGTTCACAACATAGCCTTTGCTATATTCAAAGCATTAAAGGTCTTTATTTTTTCCCTTTTTTAATCAGTTGACTGTCTTTACTGGGGCTCAACATTAATATCAACCAAGTTACCTTGGAGATAGAACAGATCAAAGAGACAAAAACCCCTCAAATGTCTGATTAATCAAGCCTGCAAACAGCTTATTTCTTTTAGCCTGCATGCAAGTATGAAAATGAGATTCTGAGAGCAGTACATTGTGCAGATTTGTTCATTCTTATCTGAACAAAGCCAGCAGCAGCTTATTTCATGGATCACTGGCACTGTCAGCGCTGTGGCGCCAAGCAGGTGATGGCTCCTCTTTCTGTGGCGAGAACAAAATTAGCAAAAAGTCGGCACAAATTAGCCTCTCATATTTTCTGTAATATGACGTTATTTTTCATTTACTTTTTTGATCCACTTTTCAGGATTTCCCCCGTCCTCCCCTTGCGTGCATCTTAGTGCCAAATCCTTTCACATTAGACGCTTGTGAAAAATAAGAATGAAAGTACAATACTGGAATAAAGGCAGGAGACAGGAAACCTTCTGCATTCTTTATGTGGCTCCTAAAAAGCTATTCTTCCCAGTCCACAACATATTAATACACAATTAAGTGTCCATCACAGGCGTGTTTCTGTGCATTGTTGCTGTCTCTTGTGTGGCCTGTGCACAGCCCTGTTAAAAACAAGGTTTATTCAGAGGATTATTTCTCTGACCTTTGGAAGATGTGAATGCAAAAAAACCATGGTACACAATGCTGGCACTGCAGAAGCAGAGGCTTAAGGCCACTAGGAGGGTTAAGTCAAAAGTACTGTTTTCTGTTCATTCATGTTTGGGCCATCATGGAGATTTCAGTGAAGACTCAAATATGAGATGTCCATACGGGAACAAAAAAAGGCAAAATAAAAATGAACATTGCTGCTATGTAAGCTATACACAAGATAAGCCAGTGCTATCTTAATAACTGTTTCACAGTGTTTTGATTTGTGTGTCGGTTCTGAGGTGTTTGATGAATGAAAGCAGCATTAGGAAGTCTTTGTGAGCAGCCAGGGGTCCACAAAAACACTGTGGCAATTAAACAGCGAGTGCAAAAAGACAATAGCTGAATGAAAGATGTGGAAAAATATATCTCCATGTGAATAAAGTGTTAAAGCTCCTATTAAGAATGTGAAATAAATGATGGCTTTAAGGAAGAAATGGCCTTAAACCCATTCATAAATTTCCTATCCAGGAAGCCTCTTCCAATTAAAACATGTGAGAGGTGGATTAACAAGGGCTATATGGCTTTGCCTCACTAAATCACCTCCCCGAGCTGCTCTGCTGCATTTGACGTGTAAACGATTAATGACCAGCCTAATTCCCTTATCACGCTACCTTAATGCCTAAATAATGTGGCCTTAGTCAACTTTGGAAAGCAGGGCTATATAAGAAAGGAATGAATATCAGATTAGGCAGCTCGTGTGTTATTTCAGCATAGTTTCTGAGAGCTGAGGTGGAAGGGGAAGAAAAATGTGTTTCTGGCTGCAAAGCCTTAGTGTTGCGACAGCATAAGGAAGGACAGGAGATCAAGAGGATGGGATACAAAGTTCCATTCAACTGGTCCACTTTGAAATCAGTAAAGAAAAGTAAGAGGCTGGAGTAAACATAAAGAATGTAAATCCAGCAGAATGTCAGCTCTTACATAAGACAATAAATGTAACAATGATTAACACCATCATCATGTGACCATACAGATTTCAGGGGTTAAAAATTTGTATGGCTACAACTGGTGGTTATTTCCCTGATTAACAGTCAAGTGTAATCATTTCTAATGAGGAGGCTTTAATATGTCTTGTTTTGTCTGACCATCAAATACAAAGATATTCCATTTAGTATCTCAGAAGACAAAAAACTGAAAAACTCCACAACTGTTTTTGTTGTTTTTCGTGTTTATGAATTAACAGCTACTGTATGTTCACTGTGCTGCTGCAAAGCTACCGGCAGCTACCGGACACTTTTAAGGTGGAATGTTTTCTTGCATGTTACTTGCACAAGTTGACTTTTTGAATCAATCACTACACCTTAAATTTTAATATCATAACTAACCCTAACTTTTTCTGGTTCTCTTGTAGGATGTGCTTTACTGATGACTTGTTCTTCAATCACTAACAATATAACGATATATTTATAATTATATTATAAATATAACGTTATATGAATTTCATTTATACAATCATTCTTTTTAGTCTCCTGGAGAAAAAAAAGCATCAGAGGGTCATACCATTGCACTCCAGAAGCACTACACCTATAGTTACAGCCTATTAAAAATGTGAAGTGTCCAAAATACACCGTATTTCTTGAGCGTTGTTATGAAAATCAACTTGCACAGAATGAAACTGGTGAACAGATCAGCCTCCTCACCTCCAAGAACGAGCTTCAGGTACGAAGGGTGCTGAAACTGAGTTTTGAACACTGGCTATATATAAATGCACTGTGACATCACCCATTAAGTTCAAGTCTGGCCATCACTGATGACTGGATCTTCAAGCATTCACAAAAATGCAACCTAATGAATTTCAACCACATTATGCAAATATTCTTGTTCCTCTCTTGGAGAAAGAAACCACTACACCTATGGTAGTAATCAAGTAAAGTACCTAGATTTGTACTTAAGTACAGTACTTGATTCCACCACTGGTCATCCCAAAAAGCATTCAAGCTAATTTCTTGAGGGTTTGATAGTCAGAAATAGTGAAATCACTGTTAAATAATATGCCATTATTTCAATGCTTAATATAGTGTTAGACAA